GATTTTCATTTCACTGGATTCCCAGTGTCTGAGTCGTTGATGCCGCACCCCCTTCCCCAAGGGAGCCGCCAGGACCCAGCAACATACCACTACTTCACTTTTAAGTATTTTGTTTCTTTGAAACGGTCTTGCTATGTATCTCTGGCTGGCCTGGGACCACTACACAGACCAGGCTGGTCTTGACTCTGATCCTCCCACCCCTGCCTCCTGAGTTCTGGGATTACTAGTGTGTCATTACATCGACCTCATGTTTACAATGGCTTAAGTCTCAATGAAATGTTCACTTAGTGCTTAAGATGCACAAGGCATTGTTTGTAGCTTGTGGCTACACCCGAATCTACTGATACTTAACTACCGTCCGCAGCCCCACTGCCCCGCGGTCAGCGCTCTGCCTGGCAGGATTTCCCATCCTGCTGGTGCCAGCTCTGTCAGTGCCACCAAATGTAGTTTTAACTAAGTCTCTGTCATCCTATCTACCAAGAAGGATGCGGAAGTCAGATGTTGGGATGAAAACCTGTTAGATCACAGAAGTTGAGAAGCAACCAGCTGACCTATCTTTTCCACCCGAGAGTGTTTGTCTTCCCTGAGCAAAAGGACCTCGAGCCTCTAAGTCCCTCCCTACTCCGTCCTGTGCTTCATACTTCCATCCTCCCACGCTCTTTATGGCTAGTTCTTATTAACCAGTTGCTGGTCCCACCCTGATCCGAGGCTAATTTTATAATACAGTTGTGGAGTTTCACAGTGCAGTCAAGTATCTCAAAACACAGCGTTACAATTTAAAGAATGGAATGCTAGAGAGAGAAGCACTGTCATGTGACAGGGCTCACGTGGAGTGGAGGGTTATTGTATTGGGGGAATGGAATGGGAAAGTGGGGGGGGGGAGACCGGTCTCTGGAGACGTGAGTGGCCGAAGAGAGGAAAGAGAGGCAGAGAGAAAGAGAGAGGCGTTAGCCAGGGCCGCCTTTTATGAGGGGATGTAGCTGTGGTGATGCAGCTGGTGATGCTGTCTTGACTGCTTGAGTTTTGGCAAGTGTGTCTTGCTGTGTGACAGGCCAGCACAATATCTGAATGCTAACTTTTCTCCCTTTCGTTTATTACAAAAAGGTGTTAGAGGGCAGGGCAGGAGTGAAGGTGCCGGAGTTCTCGAAACTGCTTCCTGATGATCTACGGGTGTCATATTTTGGAGGCCTGAGAAAGCTGGGGTGCTGGCCACGTCCAGGCGTAGCTGGTTGCTTCACTGCTGTCCAGGCTCTGTGGAACTGTCCAGTGCCTCTTGGGTCAGGGAAGATGCTGGCAGAGCAGAGGATAACTTAAGCTTAGGGGGAACATTTTCTTCCTTAGGTCCTGGTAACTGAGTGAGGGGAGTACCAAGACCTGGGAAAAGGTGGGGGATCTGGCTGATGGCTGTCAGTGATTATCTGGAGTGCATCTGACCTGTTTCAGTTGAATCCAAACCAATTCCCTGGAACTTACGAGAATTCTTTGAGTTTATGAAAAGGTAAGTTTTAGACACTTTAGCATTGCCACTGTTTATAATCGGTACTGAATTCCACATTGCAGAAACTCATACCTTTGAGTGACTGGGGACTGGAAAATGATTCTGGTTGAAATAGCACTCTCTCTTCTATCCAGAAAACTGTGATGGCTGTTTCTAGCACAATGGAAAGCACCTTTTAAGTCTACAGTTTGAAAATCATATTCTTTTATACACCTCAGATCACTTTCTCCTTATCACGGCGTAAGCTTTCCTACCTTCTCATCACCCTTAAAGCACCTTCCGTCTAATTCACCAGAAGATACAGGTGGCTGACCATTGAGAGCAGTCACTGCAGAGCAAGTCCCTTTAAACAAAGGAGCAATAAGAAGTTATACTGAAATCTGTTCTGTGAGTTTTTCTCTTTTTTGAGTCTGGTAATGAGGTAAATTGCGTCTAGACTTAGTATTAGCTCTAGGATAGTGAGGCCTGTGACCCGAACTTTACCCAGAGAACTGAGAAGGCCGCTAAAGCGCTGGTTGCTACTGTTTTTTGTTTTGTTTTGTTTTGTTTTGTTTTGTTTTTGTTTTGTGTGTGTGTTTGGTTTTTTTACATTTTTTATTAATTTATTTTTTACATTCCAATATCAGTTCTCCCTCCTCCCTCTCCTCCCATTCCTCCCACTTATGCCCCCCTCCTCCCATCTGCTCCTCAGAGATGGTAAGGCCTCCCCTAGGAAGTCTACTAAGTAGTCTGTCCATCATCTCATTGAAGCAGGACCAAGGCACCTCCCCACCCCCGACTCCCCTGTGTCTATGCTGAGCAAGGTATCTCTCCATATAAAATGTGCTTGGTTGCCTCTGTTAACCTGACAAAGCTACTACTAACCTAGTCATCAAACAGCATCAGAGTTCTGAGGAGGATTTTGAGTTAGGGATTAAAAATGGTAGAGACTTACTTGCTGGCTACTTACATACCTACCCAGGGGTTCTCCATGGTTGTTGAGGGCAGAGGTCTCAGGGAAACATCAATCTTCAGCTGACAGGCATAGCACTGCCAGGCTTGAAGATGTGACAGACTTCCTATAGAGTAGGGACTTGTGGGAAGGCCAGTCTACCTTTGTCTGGACAACTCGAGGCAGTCGATTCCCGTGTGTCCTGTTGTCCATGGTCTGAAGAGGTCTTTGCAGCAGTTGGGGTGAAAGGCAGGTTTGTTCAGTGGCTAGTGCTGCCACATTTGAAGCAAGTTCCGGGTGGAGGTTCTTCTGTGCCCTGGTCATCTTTAGAGGAAATAGAGGTGCTGCCAGGAGCTGGCATGTCTCTCTATTACAAAAAGCTTTTTAATAAAACATTTAAAATGCCATATTATGCAGATCTCTGAGCATTTGAGGATTGTCTGTCTATTAGGTATATTTGATATTTAGTTACTAGTTTTAAGCTTAACATTGAAAACATATACAGGGGACTAAGTAACACTTACTCTGTAATAAACTATATCAGTACTTAGAATATCTACAAAAGAACTTGATAATTTATAAGATGACTATTAACTTGTATTCCTTAGTGGTCTATAATAAGTTAGCTCTCATAAGTCTAGGACTTTACATTACATTCTTGTTAGGCTTAGCTCTAAAATTTGCTACAAGCCACAAGATCACACAGTAATTACATAGTCAACCATGTCATGATACAACCCAGAAGAATTAAAAATTCTTCTGAAGGATTAAACCAGGATGTAAGGTGTATTGGAATATAGTCTTGCAAATGAATTGGTTGCTTCTTGCTGTAGATTCTTCCTGCAGCTTATTCCTGTCTGTAACAAACTTGGGATTTACTTCCCACAGTTCAGCTTATCATTTACCGGGAACAATTTCTCCCATGCATTTGTAATTTACTGATTACACTCCCTAGCTATGTGTAAAACTTGTTCTCCATTAACAGGTCCTAGTCTACTGGTTACATTCCTTAGCTATGTGTGAGTCCTGTTTCCCACTCTCAGGCCCTTGGTCCCCTCTCCATGTAATTGAAGATACCTGCCTTCCTGCAATTATCCCACTGACAGGTATTTGGTCAGTGTTTAGGGCCCAGGCAAACACATTCCATCTAAGTCATTACCAGATATCCAAGGACACAGAATTATTACACGCCCAAAGCTGTTGATTCATAGCTGCCCAGATGGATAGAAAAAATAAGCATGCCCTGGTTTTCTCTCACTGGCAGATAGGGAAGCAATAACCTAAAGTAACCCTGCACTAAAAGATTCTCAAACTTCTCATCCCCATTTATTATGCAGAATTCTAGCTCAGAGATTTACTGCTTGTGCTCTCCCTCCCCACCCCCACCCCTGAGGAGATAGCGACAAAGGTAATCAGCCCATTTGCTCATCCTCAGGGAAAAGTAAACTTTCCCTGAAGGCCTGTGATGCCACTAGTCCAGAGCACTGGAAGGTGCCAGGTTCTGTTTCTTGTGCAAATTAAACTTAGACCCTCTCCTTGACCAACATCCCTAAGGAACTGTTGCTAAAAGTTTCACCTAGCAGTTTAGTTTATTGTTCTGTGTGTAAATCTTATCTGCCTTGCTGACCCTGAGAAACTCAGGCCTCACATTGTATTGCAAAAGAATTACTGTTGCAAACATGTATGTGTACACACACACACACACACACACACACACAAGAACTTGGAAGGGAAGAAGAGAAGGAGACTTGAGGAAGAATAATAAAAGAACATGCAGAGGAACAATTGTTTGCGAGTCAATTCTTTCCCTCAGACCCCCTTAGCTATTTTTCCTTCGCTGGCTATAGAGCCTTAACAGGACCTCATAAGGGATCCTAAAAAGGGGCTGGTACCCCCCAAAAGGGCCCTCATAAAAATAATGATTTTGAATTGAAGCTTTTCTAGTCTCTAAATAAATCCTTTTAATCATAGACGTGTTCAGTAAAGAAACTATGATCGCCACTCTGTGGGTAAAAAGAGAAGTTTGTACCAAGCTGCTAAGACTGTCTCCTGGGAAGGCAAGGAAGAGTGACAAGGAAAGGATCCCAGGGCAAAATGGGAGGAGAAAGGGGGCTTGTGAGTTGGGGTGTGGCCCAGAAGCAGGGACTTCAGGAGCACAGAGGCCAGCACTGCCTTTGACAGGTCATGGGGGCCTCAGCCCAAATACTCAACTGGGAAAGGGACCCTCATGGGGGACCATGCATTCCATTATAGAAAGTATATCTTATTTATCAAATACCTTATTTGTCAAACCTATGCTGTTGCTTGTTTAAGTTTTCTAGAAGCTTGGTGTTGAGTACTTGGCAAAGGCATAAGTACTTAGGTGTAAATCTTTTGCTAATCCGAGTAGATCTTTATAACCTGAAATTGTTATCACTAGCAGAATGTATTTTAAAGCAGAGTTGAATCACACATATAATGTTGTAACAGATTTAACCATGCATTTTTGTCATCGTCAAAAAGCCCATACCAATCTAAAATATTTGAGACTTGTTGCTTCCTTAGTCTAGGAGATACAATGAACAGAGCTCATTAATACTAAGAAATTTACTCTTTAACCTTAGTAAAAGTTGGCTGCCAGGCATGTGGCTGCCTACATCATGATTAGGTCATTAGCGAAGTTGGAGAACCACATGGTTGCTGTTTAAAACATGTTATTCTAATCAATAGTTCCATGTACATATAGGCAAAGTTGAATCCAAGTTACATACAGTTAAAACTAGCTTACATTCATGAACATAGTTAAATCCAAGTCATGTTTGTGAACACACACACACACACACATACATACACACCTTAACAGGAGTTGAATAAATTAAAAAGGAAAAGTGCTGGGCAGGAGGCGGCTGGCTTCTACCAAGACAGGGCATTTAGAAAGGCAGAGCAGACAGACACAAGCAGGTTTTGGAGTCAAGAAAAAGAACGAAACTGGAGAAAGTGAGGACCTTTGGCGGGCCCTGCCACTAAGCAGACACACCACACATGAGTTAGTGCAAAGCCTCTAGGGGATGGAGAGAGCAGAAGAGTGAAAGGCTACGTCAGAGTGCGGACTTGAGAGAGGCAGACAGACAAGAGAGAGAGAGAGAGAGAGAGATAATGAGAGAGAGAGAGAGAGAATGAGAGAGAGAGAGAATGAGAGACAGAGAGACAGAGAGAGAGGAGAGACAGAAGAGACAGAGAGAGAGAAAGACAGAGAGAGAGAGAGAGAAGATGGGCAGGGCGGGGCAAGGGAAGAAATTAGAGACTGGTCCACACTTTCAAAGGATGCACATGACACACACACAGCAGAGAGGGACCTGGCGACATGTAACTGCTTTGGCAGCAGAGGCAGGCTGATGCTTTGGAAAGCAACACTGGAACCCTTTAATGAAAGAAGCAGAGTTAGAAAGAGCAGTGAGAGGGCTTGGAGTGAAGATAAGAAAAAGGCTCCTTTCCATCTGTTGGCTCACTACAGAATGTTGCAAAGGTCGCATCAAATATTGGGATGCAGGGTGGTGGGAAGTGGCCATTTGGATTGGTATCTAAGGGGTATTTGGGCCAGATCTGATTGCGCATCAAATATTGGGATTTAGGGTGCTGGGAAGTGGCCATTTGGATTGATATCTAAGGGGTATTTGGGCCAGATCTGATTGCAAAGGCAGACGAGTTTAGAAGCCCTTGGAGGTATAGTGGAAGATGTAGTGCCCATGAATGAGAAGGTCTGCAATTCCTAGTGCCCCAGGAATTCAGAAAGCATTGGCTTTGAGAAGGCACAGACTGCTCGGTGATTTGTCAAACACAGGGCAGGGGCCAGGGCCCTGATCCTGAGAGAGATGATCGAGAAGGCATAGGCTGGCCAGTGGGTGATCACCCAGATGCCCAGGGGCTGGGGTATTGAGCCCCAAGAGACATGTGGATGCCTGATGGCAGGACTTGTTTAAGAGTCAAGAAGCCACGGTTGAGACAAATTCTCACTCATGTTGGATGGAGAGGTCCAGGGAATCAGTTAGTTGGAGAAGTGATACTGTCATATATGGACTGGGTTCCAGCATCCTAGAGAGCCTCAGATTGCCTGCCAAGGTCAATGCTATAATTTAAAAAACAGAGCGCTTGAGATAGCTACCATGTGACTGGTCTCATGTAGAGGGTTTGTTTTGTTTTTAATTGAAGGAAGAGAATAAAAAAAGGGAGGGAGGGATAATGGCCTCTGGCGACAGGAGTGGCAGAAGAAAGGGGGGGGGGGAGGGCGGGCAGGCTGTACTTTATGAGGGGCTGTAACTGTAGTGACATTGTTGATGACGCTGTCAGGACCCCAAGCAGGTCAGAGTACTGCCTGAGTACCGGCAGGCAAGGTCATCCAGCCTGAATGCTAACACACAAAACCTTGGTAAAGTTAAGCAGTCTTTCGTTGCTGGGTATCTGTGCACACTTAAAACCTTCACTTATTAGTGAGCCTTGATACTGTGGCAATTTAATACAAATGCTTAAAGCTTGGTTGTCGATGTTCCAAGGCGCCCTGTTTGCGGGCACATTACCCCATCCAGTGTCCCCCAGTCCTTCAGCACAGGAGAACAGACACTCGGCTTGACTGGGACATGACCTGTGTGCCAGTGTCCTCCACCAGGCCCAGCCCTCGTACAGGAAGCGTCCTACAGATTTATAGCATGTTGCTTCAGTTTAGTGCTGCAGTGGGGGTGGGCATGGAGCAGGGAGGTGAGCACTGACGCCTTTGTGGAACTTCATGTCCCTGAACCTCAAATTCCCAGCCCTTTCAGAGTGAGCGCTGGAGAGGGAACGGCAATGCCTTGACATGCACGCACGCACACACAGACCGAGCGGTGCCGCCTCAAATCACTTTACAGTCAGATGCTCTCTATTACAATGTTCTCTAAAGTAGGTCAATAGGAAATGACACGTTTGCTTGCACAATTTCTGTCTCCCACCAGGTGGCACTGCTTTCCAACAAGTAACTTTTTTTTCTGGTAGGTTTTTTTTTTTTTTTCCAGGACCCCTGTTCACAATGGCTCAAAATCAGCCCAGAGAGGAAAAAGAAAAACAATGAAGTACTTTACTTGACTCCACCACACCCTACCTCATCTCCCAGCCCCCACAAACAAGCCCTACCTCACCTCATCTCTCCACCCTCACCACAACGCTACCCCAACCGATGTGGAGAGGAAAGGATTCTGCTTGTGACTTCCAGGGAAGGGAGGGCTTTGGGGTCCAGGTGTGTTTGGCACACAGCACTTCCCAGAAGAGCTTCATGCTCTCATGCACCCCTGTGACAGAGGGTAGCATTAGGCAATTACACATACTCCTGAGATTTGGCAACAAATTACCTTTACATGAATAGGCACAGTAGCTGTGATTTGTACACAGTAACAACAAAAAGTAGTCGTGTTAAAGTGACTTTGGGGACCCAAGCTATGTAAACGAGTAATAGGGGTAGCCCAGAAAGGATGGGCTGCCTTTCCTAGCACGGCCTGTGTCTGTTCAAGTTCGTAGTGAAAGTCAATAGTGCAGCTGGTCACTCAGGGTCCCCGTCACACCTCCTGCTCCTCTCTGGGACCCCAGAGCCCTTGTCATTGTAGCCATCCTTGCCCGGTGAAAAAGAAGATCAGAGATGCAAGTCAGAGAGCTCATTCGATCACGTCTTCAGTGTCACCCTCTGTTCTGAAAACCAATGTGTGTGCTGTGTGTGTACACGCATTTGCATTCTCTTGAGAAGTCACCGAAGGGTTGGATTATGCTGAAGCTTGCCTCTTCGTGGCTTCACTGTGGGAACACATCCATCGGCACACAGAACTGAATAAAGACGCCTCCCAAGCCTTCGTGGATGCCGCCCTTGAGTAACAGATGCTATTAAAACTTGGAGGTCTTTTAAAAGCCAGAACCTTTTCAGGAAAAATAAAAAAAAAAAAGATTTTTAGTACTTACATAGAAACTAAATGTTAAATTCACCTACTAAACAGACTTACTTCATAGAGCAATGGCAGACTCACAAACACACACTTTGACACTCTGGCTGTGTAAAACTGTGCATCTCTGCCATTAGCAGGGAGGTTTCCAAAGACAAACTCTTCAAGGTAGGCAAATTTTGTTGGCAGGAGGCAGACTTAGGCAGCTCCTCCAGCTTCCTAGGTCCATCTTCCTCATGCTTACAGGGACAGAGTTGGTACCGGAGGCCCTCTCAGTGCTACTGAGCAGAGCGCCATTTAAAAGCCTCAATTTACACCTCCCTTCTTGGCTCTATCTAGACAGATGGACCTTAGCCACAGTCTACAACTGTGCTTTTTCCTATTTAAGACCTGGTAACTTCCCACTTCCCTGCCGTCCTCACTGTTTGCATACCCACTGTCTTAAAACCGTTAATCTTGCCCTTCGCTCCTGACCATACACCACAGCCATTTCTAATTTCCTGCCACATGCTTCCTGTTCCTCATGTGGTGATCGTGAATTTTGTCACATCGTGGACCAGGTTTCAACTCAACTCACCTCTCCCACCAGCCTACAAAACCCCTCTGGAGTCTCATCCTGTTCTTCTGTGACAGCATCTTGGGAGACTGCCAGGATAGCATTCCAGGGTCCCTTAGTGCACAGGAGTGTGTGTGTGTCACTTGGAAGGAGACACTGTGACTCTTGGAAAGCCAGTGTATCCACATCTTCAGTTGGACTGCACACCTAGTTAGATGCCTGAACAAGCTTTCACACAAACCAGGACAGCACAAAACGCCTGCCTGGAATCCCTGATTCTAACTTGGTAAGAGGGAGAGAAGCGAGTCACCTGACGTTCACTGACAGACAATGGATCCATTTGTTAACACCCATCTTCATGACACTGTATCAAGGTGTTAAAGTGAGTGTCGGGACCGCAGCATGGGTCACAAGGCAGATGAGCAGACCTAGCCCCAGTAGGCTCACAAGGTCCAAAAGAGCAGCTTTTACAGTGGGCAACAGGTGAGCCAACAGACTACTGACTAGTGGGGTAAAGGGTGGGGAGGGAGAGAGCAGTGGGGCGCTGGTTAATGTGAGGTTCACTCTTCCTGTGAGGTCCACTGACAGGGGAAATGGGGAAGCCGGTGCCTGCTACGGCTTGAATGAAGTCCCCCCAGTCTCAGACACTGAATACTTAGTCCCCGATTGGTGATGGTGGCAGCTTGGGGGAGGCTTAGGAAGTGTGTCTTGGTGGAGGAATGTGTCACTGGAGGCAGGCTATGAGAGTGGCCTCCTGCCTTCTCTGCTTTGGGTTGGCACTTCCAAACAAGAACCTCAGCATCCTGCTCTGCCCCTCCCCCCCCATCATTACAGATTCTAACTCTCTGGAACCGTAAGTTCAAATACAGTTGTCTTCTACAGGTTACCTTGACCATGGTGTTTTATCATAATGGTAGTAAAACAACTAACACAGTGCTCTGTGAACAACCAAACACCTGTGTGTAGTGGTCAAGCAATAGTCTACCACCCTTGGACCGACCCTTCAGTGTCCCACCTATGCTGAATACCAGGAGTGGAGGCACTTCAGAAAGACCTTGACAGCACAAAAAGCTCAGTGGCCTCCAATGTTTTAGAACTGTCTGATGGTTTTAAGACTTTGATTAAACTGGATTATAGAAGAACAAACCATGACAGCTGCGTGCCTCCCACAGCCAAAGAGAAAAAATAGAAATCAACACAATGGAGAACTTGTGTGCTGTGCATAAGGGGGCTCCTAACCCAGAGGCCTAACTTCTGGGGAGATGGCCTTCCCATTTGTGAAGACAACCTTGGCATACAGACTTCCCTTCCTTTGGAGGATTCACTGATAACCTACACAAGGGAAAGACTACAGGACATCAGGTGGTAAATCCCGTGTGGAGGGAAATGAACTGATTCCTTACCAGAAAAATTACCATGAAAACCCACTTTCAATTTTACAAAACTTGCAATGAGGCACAATTCTTAAGCTGTTTTCACTTTTTTTATTGCTGTTAATTCAAGGAAAAAGGTTGCATAAAATCCAATCTGTCCTAGAAATATAAGTGGCCTTTCCAGTACATAACATTTCAAATATCAAAGTATATGGTAAACATACAAATAAGGAGAAGGTAACACACCTCCTATGTACAGTACAGTTTTTGAAATCATAAAATAAACTCCATAAAGTATACCTGGCAAGTGAGTCACAACAGGCCTGTGCAAGGCTTAGGTGCTCTCCCCTGAACCACTCAACCGCATCGTAACAATTTAATAATGTGGTCCAAAAATACCCAGATCAAATAAAATATATTTAATCAAAATAATTTCCTTTACTTGAACTTTTTTCTTTCTAAATTAAAGCTTTGTCTACCCGGTCACACTCCCCTGCCTCTCCCCATAGAGCCCACCCCTGAAAAAGTCTCAGAATGTACATTGGTGCTAGAAATATAAACGCTACTTTCTGAAGTGTTGAACTAGCTCTTCTCTTCAAGTTTTTTTTTTCCTTTGTCTCACAATGTCAGGCTAACATTTCAGTGCCTCTGCCACACCCCAGCTGTATTCCCCACAACCCAAGCCAATCATTTCTACTCTTTACCGAGGACCAGGAACCCCTTACCCCTTACGCTTACAGCTTACAACTGTGTGGTGGTGCTCGTTCACTGCTCTGAGTGTGGCAGTCACTGAAGACACATCCAATCTCCCAGATAACCTCAGTGCACTTCAGGAAATAAAACATTACCTGGAAGCAACTTAGTACATGGATCGGCTTTTTAAAAAAGTTAAAAAACAAAAAACCAAACAAAAAACCAAAACAACCCAGCAGCATTAAACTTAGTGACATGGCACTGACATGATTAAAACTACCTCAACACACTTGGAATTCAGTCTTTCACAGTATAATCAAGCATAGTGGTAAATGGTTATAAAAGTGACTTTGCTTATGAGACGCAGGTTAGGGAGCAGACACCCGACTTTTGTGGAAACCCACAGCTTCTGTTCAGATGTGACAGACCACACACATGTAAACACAATGTAACACTGTAACAGCTGGTGCAGCAGAAGGTGACATCTCCACTCAGTAGTGCCTGATCAGGTCAAGGCGGTAGACAAGTAGAACTGGCTGTTGACTGTCATCACAGACACAAGCACACAGAGAACAACATTCACACGAGTGTTCACTTTGTGTCTCTGAAGCAACAGGCTACAAAAGCATGATGGAAGGAAAAGTTGTTTTCTCTCACGAAAAGCCAGTTTGTCCATTTCAAATTTCCGGCTTCCTGCAGTCTGACTTCCTCTCTCTCACTTGTTTTCATGTTATTTGGACAAGTGCCGCATACATGTATTTACGTGATGTTGTTTATGACATATATACATACTTCTTCTAAAATGTATGGTGAGACATGTTGCCCTTGGTTCACACAGAGCAGGTCACAGAAGAGCGACAAGGACAGTGCTGAGCACCCCCACACAGGCCAGGGAGAGGGTGGTGGCCACAGAAGTGTAGTTTAGGGTCAAAGTAGGAAAGTCACAAGCAGCACAGCTTTTCCCCAAACCATAGGACTGTTCCCAGTGTCATGAAAACAATACACAGTTTAAAGATTCAGTAAACATTGCACACAGCAAGTATTCAGTGTAAAAAAGCACACATCAACGTTTCTCATGAGTTTGTCTGAAATTTAAGTTACATATATCATACAAGCCTGCTGTTGAGCCAGGGGACCAGAGGCTCAGGAGCATCGCATTCTGTCTTATTTTGGACATCGGTACAGAGAATGAAAACTCCCAACTGCATAGAAATTTAGGAAATGTACAGACAAAGAAACAAAATACCTTTCCTTTCCTCCCCTCCACACCCCACGACTCCCCGCACTTGAGTACATTAAGTAGGCAAGCTTTGCTCGTTCAGTCTGCAGAATCCAACGTATCATTACAAGGGGGGAGGGGAGGTGCGTATCTCAGTCTGTAAGTGCCTAAAACAGGAAAGACAGAACGGCTAAGTCACCGCTTATGACTACATGTATCACAAACCACTACATGAGATTGCAAATGGGCATACCTCAAAGGCCCTTCCTCGGCACTAACTCTGGTCCAAAACGGCAGGTAAGTGACTCTCCCAAAAGCAACAGTAAGCTTGTGCTACATGTATAACCTAAAGCTATTTATCTGGACTTCCCTTTGAGGGTGCCCAGTACTTTCCTACTCCATACCTCTTCTGGTAAGATTTGGCACAATGACAAAGGCCAAATGCACGAGAGAGAAATGGTCAGAACTAACCCTGGCCCTGCACCCACACCTGTTTAAGTGCATGTTCTTTTCTCTGGTGTTAGCACTATTCAACTTTACTCTTGCTTCCTGCCTCCCAAACTGGTGTTCACATCACTTAGTTCCTGTAAAAAGTCAATGGACTCTTGGAAACACTTTCCTTATTGTACTGAACGAAAGGGCAGCATGGGCACATATGTGAGCCGGCTGGTTGTACACTGACTCTCATCAGACTAAAATCCTTGGATACCAGATAACTCGCTTACACCCTAGTTTTCAATACTTGAAAACTTTGCCTCCTCTATGAAAGAGGGTTATAACTCTTAAAATACAGCACTGCAAGGAAGGGCCTTAGCACTCTGGACTTTAGACTTCCACAATATCCCTGAACCCTTGAAAAACGCCTGGTGTTTATTCCTCAGTGACAAACTCAACTTCCTCTGACCTTCCTTGTGCTACGTGACCTCGATGATCTACACTAGTTTCTCTGGTTGCATTCTGATTTGTCACTGAAAATACAGCCTCTGTAAACAAACACACACACAGATCTTTCTGCTAAGACAGAATCACGTAATCAAGAAAGAAGAAACGGGAACTCAAAAACAAGTCCTCTGGGAGTGAGTGTGATTACCTTGTTGATTGGCCTCCATGGACGACTGTTTACAGTCTTGTGCATAGTGTCCGCTTACACCACAATTGTAACATGAGACATTCCCATTCTTCTTGGGCCCAGAACCACTGGTATTGGCAACTACATTAGGTGCTGGATATACTGGATACAATCTCCCAAATCCTGCCACCTGTTGCATGCCATAGTTGGCTTGGCTCCCCATGACTGGGTCATGCACCAGTCCATTTGCATATGGAGTCTGAGGCAGAAAAAAAGGAAGTTGGTTTCCATTGCTCTGATGTGCTTGGTTGAGGTAGCTGCCATTGCAAATGGATGGCAGAGTGAAGAATGATGGGACTCGGTACATTGGTCCAGGCATTGGATTGGGATAATAGTAACTGTTTAGCTGAAGGTTTCCATTGGTCCCACAGCTGCACCTTCGCCCACAAGAGCCACAAGGACCTGAGCCCATCTGCTGTGGTGGCACTATGGTCCCATTAGCGTTTGTGTTCCCCACAGCATTGATGTAAGATGTGCTATCACTCTGAGCAGTACTGTGTGTCAAGGCAGGGCTGGGGCTCGGGGCAGGGCCTGGGGTGTGGGTAGGAACAGCAGGAGGAACTGTAGACTGGGCTTGACTGATGCCTGCACTTGTTGGCTGGGCAGAAGTCGAATTCTGGGTGGGTAGCACACTAGCAGCGAGGGGTGAGCCTGGAAAGGTGTAGGAGGCTGGTGGCTGTGCAGCTGAAAGGCCAGCTGCCGGAAGAACTACCTTCACATTGGTAGGCTGAGGGACTGTTCCTGTGTTTCCCTCAATCTGAGGCACCATTTGATTTAGTCCTACCACTTGGGATGCAGACTTTGTGATGGGGTCAGTGGTAGCCACAGGAGATCCTGGGAAACTACCTGGGTTATGGACAGGAATAAAGGCAGTGTTTGGTGATCCAATGCTCAGACTTCCAGTTGGCTGTTGTGGAATATTAACTGTACAGCTCTCAGAAGATCCCTGTGGTGGTGGCAATTTCAGCCTCTGCAATGTTAGCTGCAAAGCAGGAGTACTACTGTGTGGAAGGAAGGATGATGGGATAGGTAAAGGGGAAGCCAGCAATTCCAGGTGTTTCTCTGATTCTCCAGAAGTTGCTGGGCCCAGGATTCCAATAGGGCTTGAATTTGTGGACTCCATCACTGTAGAGACAGCCATAGGATTAGGAACAAGCATCCCTAGTGTTTTGCCATCTGTGGATTTGGGTGAAGGAATGACAACTTCTGACTTCTGGGCACCATTGTGCATGACACAGTGTAGAGTTGGCATGAAGGGAATATGTGGATACTTGTGTGAGGTCAATGGAGCTTCTAAAAGGCTTCCGTTCTCATTCCCCAGTGAGACAATCTGAGCAGGTGGCTTGACAGTGACAGTCTGGTTGACAGAGCCATAATCTGTAAACCTGGCTGTTGATGGATTCCCAGAGTCTTCAGAATTGCTGTCCGTGTCTAAAGAAAACATGCAAACACGGATTAACCAAGGCTGATTTCCTATTTTTCTTACTAGAACTAAAATTAAGGTATATCTAAGCTTTAGGTATATTTAAACTTTAGGTATATCTGGAATATGTTGCTCTATCACATTTTCCAACTGCCCAAACTAACTTTGGTTGATCGTTGGCTTTCAGTATGCTTTAATCTCTAAAAAAGGTCACTGAAGTATAAAACACAAGAGACATGCATACACTACTATTTATTACTAAGAAAAGCATTAAATAATAATTTTAAATAATTTACTTAATTCTGTACCATCAAAAACCTGATTTTGAAGTATCTCATAAATGATTCAATTTAAAGAGTATGATTAGAACAATATTTAACTCAAATGCTTAGGGTAGGAAATGGAGTAAATATTTGTACCACTATATATTCAACAGGGCACACTTAGAACTACTTGTATTAGCCCTACAATTGTACTCTGGAAGACAAAAGGCAGGAGAAGAAAGAAAGCACCACCATTTCTCCACAACCACACAGCAGACACAACTGTGCTGCACTTGGTCTACCCCTGTACCACACCACGGTACACACATCAGCCACTCCAGCTTCAAGACAGGGCAGAGAGGAGCCAAGGTACTTCCTGGTGCTGTGTTTAAACATGTTAAGTACTGCACTTCAGCCTACACAGCTCATTCAGTTAGACATAAAACTGTAAAAACTGTTCTGCTCATGAATACAGCAGGATTGCACTTGGTACTTTGTGTTAGTTAAGGCAAGAACTGGTTACATGTAGCTGACAACTTCAAGCATTTTGAAACTATCCTTCCCTTCCGAAACAGAACCCACTTGACACAGAATATCAAGTGCTATTAATTGAATTGTCTCAATTTATATTAGGGGGTGCTTGAATTAATGAGTGAATTGTTATAGCAAATATGTCTCCTAACAGGTAAATTATTATACTACTTATTACAGAACTTCAAAGAGAACCTCCCTAAGTTAATAACCTCTCCAACACCATCCATCAGTACAGGGTTAAGAACAAATATCAAGTCCAAAAGGAAAACAGAAGCCATCTTTCAGATGCTCAGGTAAATTTCCATATTAACAGGGTGGCCCTAGGAGTTTTGGAGCACTACAGGGATCAGGTAGAAGGATGTTTTCTGTATTGCCACTGGAAACCACAAACTCTCAGAGCATCATTACAACAACAAAGGCACATGCTTCCGAAGGCCTTTGTGTGTACTCAAGACTTGGAAAATGTTCAAAGCTTTCCATCTCAGTGTGTGCCTGGGAGCTGACATGAATAAAGGGCAATATCCTCTACACAGGCCTATCAACTTACAGATCTGAGGACAAGAAGGGATGCTGAGTTATCCACAGATGTGGCAACCAGATGAAATCTGATCAAGACTCAGAGAATCATCTGTGCACTGCACAGAACCACGTACAACGTGCATTGCAAATACACTGAAAGCCTGCTATTTTAGACAAGGCAATAAGGACTCTCTCCATGTCCCATAGCTCTGAGGATGCACAGGTCAGAAGTGCAGTGTGGTCTCACACCAGGAGCAAGGACCACTGCAGGCTTCCTTTGATGCAACTACCAAACCACCACAAGGTAAAGACGGACTTCAACTGTTTGCAAAGTAGTAGCACCTTAAGACATGCTGACAGTGACACAGAAGCTGAGGTCCCAGTGAGCATAAAACTGTACAGCAAGAAACCACATCTGGCTGAAATGCCATGGTGTAAGAATTTTAACAAAGAAACTGTTAAGACTGCACTCGGCCGGGTACCTTCACTGCCATGTCAGCCATTAGTTGTGGTTGGCACGTATAAAGGACATCATCCTGATTAAGCACAGGCTTTTCAAGGGACTCTTACAGTCAGAACAGAATGGAGAGTAAAGTTCTCCACTGAGAACAGCAGAAAATGTCAAAATCAACTTTCTTAGAAAGGTGGAAATTACCCAAATGCCTGGAGCGATCATACGGTATAAGAGAACTAGGTCAATCTCTTAAGAACAGAGATCCTTATGACCTTTTACCTGGCCCCACCCTAATTCTATCTCCTTATCAGTCAATAGACAGTAGCTTTGAAAGCCAGTAACACAGACATCACTAGAGAGACTAAGTATAGAGTTTTCCCCCCAAACACTATATCCACAAAACCCGCCACCATGTGGGCCGAGTGGCTGCCATGCTCACCCTGCCAGTTTCCCATTCACAGGATGAGCCTGTCTATTGGATTTCATATGCCATGAATGGTCTTTAAATACCTCTATTAGCAAATTTTAAGTCAACAATGGGTTTTCTACAACTTTGGGTTGTTCAGGCGATAACAGTGTCATCCGCCCCCACCTCTTTTTACCCCTCTGATAAAAGCAAACCTCTGTCCTTTTCTTCTTCACTTTCAAAACTTTCTCTTCCATCATGTCGTGGACTAGACGGAGAACTGTAACTCTCTGAAGATGTTTCTCCACATGTGTCATGTCCAGATCCAATGTCCAAATTCATATCTAAAAATAACAACTCTAAAGTTATGTTAAATGTTATATTAATTTTCAAATGGAACCATTAGAAATTAGTTGTAACTACAAATGATTTGTTTTCCTACAACACTTAAAAATTGTCTTTGACCTATGTTAAAATTCACTATTAAGTAGCTGATAAATACATACTTAACACAAAGGCACAGAAGAACAAGTCAATTTTACAATTTAATCAGAATTAGTTTCTTGTAGGGCTAGTCCAATATCAACACTTTGAGCTCACTTCTAAGTCTACAGAGTATTTTCCTAGAGCTTGATAAAGAAATCCTCTAAGAGTGGGTGGGTAGTCTGTCATTAACACGTGTTCTATTAAAATGACTAGCCATGCCAGAGTATTTATAACAACATGCTTCACAGCTAGCAGACTATGTAGCCCCTTAATTTCTACCCAGAGGCCACTCCTATGCCAAGACAAGGTAGGGATGACTGCAGTACAGGCAAGAATCAATCAGCAACATCTGTTGTTGGTACACTAGGACAGAATATTCTTGTGTCTAGAATGCATCACTCATACATGAGCCCGGCCTTGTCTTATTCATTTCTATAAACCCAATTGCTAACATAGCTTTTGTTACACAGCCAGCAGCCAATGTGCTTACTGTACACATCCACAGAAGCAACTGTTTATGTCTGTGTGTTTATGCATGTGTATGGGTATGTGCCTGTGCACATCTGCAGAGACCAGGAAGGTGCCACCGGTCTGCTATCCCTGTCCACCTCTGCCCCTGAAACAGTATCCCCCTGATATGATCCGGGAGGCTGGAATCCAGAAGCCTCAGAAGCTGCC